TTGAAGGAGAGAGTGGAGCTGAAGATATGGCGGTGGATGCCCCGCAGCCTGAGGAGATTCAGTGTCATTCAACAGTTGAGGGAAACTGATATGCTGGTCGTGAAGAAGGTGTAATTTATGGCATTTATTGTGCATGTGATTAATTGTACTACCCAAACGAACAAGAAGTCCAATAAACTGGCCATAATTGTGGCTGAAAGGTTCTTGGCTCTCCTGGACTTCACTGCCAACTTCACTGCCAACTTCATTACCCCAGAGCCTGTAGGGATCAAAGTTGACATTTGAATCTGACTAAAGGATTACATTGATTTTTGTCTTTCGTTAATTATTTGAGAACAATATACTTAAAAATATATATTGTATACTACCCCGTACAGTGGGTGGCGGCATGCATCTCTAATATATGTTTGCGGACCACCATAATACCATAGAAGAAGAACCTCTGGGGTCACTAGAAAAAAGTTTGTAGGATAAGATGATCATGGAAAATAAATTTGCTCAATTAAAACAGACATTGGTGCTGTGACCCCTTCAGAATTCATAAGAAAAAAGTATCAATAGGTTTGAGACCAATCTCAGACACTTTAGTTTCCAAGTTCCCCTCTGCTCCATTGGTATCTAGGCTTCGCATTTATGCACATTGCTGTAAAAAGCTTCCTGAAACAGAATACGATGTGTCACCCAGGCCAGGTAAGTCATATAAAAGCTGTCAAATAATTCACATGGGAGCATACAATGCAGTGTACTGGGTCTCTTTTCACCTTTCATTGTTCTCCACAGGTGAAGCACAAGCAGGACATTCACCTTGCCATGAAGAACAAAATGAACACTTCAACTCAGTATTAGGAAGGTGTTCTTAATGTGTTGTACACTCAGTTTGTATTCAAGCTTTTTCTTATTTTTATGGATCCATCTCCAAGTCAACTGCCTACCGCTATCACCTTGCTGTAAATAAAACACCTGGCTTCACCTGCAAGACTGTTGTAAAGCGCCTTCCTTCCATGCCCCTTAGTTGTGAGACATTACTTTATCCCAGGGAGTCATTATCCCAGGGAGTCCATATACATACAGTGAGGGAAAAAAGTATTTGATCCCCTGCTGATTTTGTACGTTTGCCCATTGACAAAGACATGATCAGTCTATAATGTTAATGGTAGGTTTATTTGAACAGTGAGAGACAGAATAACAACAACAAAAAATCCAGAAAAACGCATGTCAAAAATGTTACAAATTGATTTGCATTTGAATGAGGGAAATAAGTATTTAACCCCTCTGCAAAACATGACTTAGTACTTGGTGGCAAAACCCTTGTTGGCAATCACAGAGGTCAGACGTTTCTTGTAGTTGGCCACCAGGTTTGCACACATCTCAGGAGGGATTTTGTCCCACTCCTCTTTGCAGATCTTCTCCAAGTCATAAAAATTTTGAGCCTGACGTTTGGCAACTCGAACCTTCAGCTCCCTCCATAGATTTTCTATGGGATTAAGGTCTGGAGACTGGCTAGGCCACTCCAGGACCTTAATGTGCTTCTTCTTGAGCCACTCCTTTGTTGCCTTGGCCGTGTGTTTTGAGTCATTGTCATGCTGGAATACCCATCCACGACCCATTTTCAATGCCCTGGCTGAGGGAAGGAGGTTCTCACCCAAGATTTGACGGTACATGGCCCCGTCCATCGTCCCTTTCATGCGGTGAAGTTGTCCTGTCCCCTTAGCAGAAAAACACCCCCAAAGCATAATGTTTCCACCTCCATGTTTGACGGTGGGGATGGTGTTCTTGGGGTCATAGGCAGCATTCCTCCTCCTCCAAACACGGCGAGTTGAGTTGATGCCAAAGAGCTCGATTTTGGTCTCATCTGACCACAACACTCACCCAGTTCTCCTCTGAATCATTCAGATGTTCATTGGCAAACTTCAGACGGCCCTGTATATGTGCTTTCTTGAGCAGGGGGACCTTGCGGGCGCTGCAGGATTTCAGTCCTTCACGGTTTAGTGTGTTACCAATTGTTTTCTTGGTGACTATGGTCCCAGCTGCCTTGAGATCATTGACAAGATCCTCCTGTGTAGTTCTGGGCTGATTCCTCACCGTTCTCATGATCATTGCAACTCCACGAGGTGAGATCTTGCATGGAGCCCCAGGCCGAGGGAGGGTGACAGTTATTTTGTGTTTCTTCCATTTTCGAATAATCGCACCAACTGTTGTCACCTTCTCACCAAGCTGCTTGGCGATGGTCTTGTAGCCCATTCCAGCCTTGTGTAGGTCTACAATCTTGTCCCTGACATCCTTGGAGAGCTCTTTGGTCTTGGCCATGGTGGAGAGTTTGGAATCTGATTGATTGATTGCTTCTGTGGACAGGTGTCTTTTATACAGGTAACAAACTGAGATTAGGAGCACTCCCTTTAAGAGTGTGCTCCTAATCTCAGCTCGTTACCTGTATAAAAGACACCTGGGAGCCAGAAATCTTTCTGATTGAGAGGGGGTCAAATACTTATTTCCCTCATTAAAATGCAAATCAATTTATAACATTTTTGACATGCGTTTTTCTGGATTTTTTTGTTGTTATTCTGTCTCTCACTGTTCAAATAAACCTACCATTACAATTATAGACTGATCATTTCTTTGTCAGTGGGCAAACGTACAAAATCAACAGGGGATCAAACACTTTTTTCCCTCACTGTAAGATAGACAATGACAAATCCGGCAATTAATTAGGTCACAAAAAAACCTGAACACAGTTTTCGGTGATTGTGCTACTACCTTTTTATAATAATAATAATAATAATAATATGCCATTTAGCAGACGCTTTTATCCAAATAGACTTACAGTCATGCGTGCATACATTTTTTTTGTGTATGGGTGGTCCCGGGGATCGAACCCACTACCTTGGCGTTACAAGCGCCGTGCTCTACCAGCTGAGCTACAGAGGACCACCCCCCATTGACAGACATGTTAGGCCTAACTGTAATGTGGATGCAAGATAGTAGGTTTACACAAACTACAGACTAGTTCATTTACTTACCTTATGTTGTGGATGAGCAGCTTCAGTCTTTGTTTTCAAATCCATGAATGTAATATGGACAAAATGCTGATACAAATACTCAAATATTCAATTTTACTCCCTGGTGTTGATGCCATAATATTGTAGACATTGAAGTTGTCATTATAATTATGCTGCATTCATAACCAAGTGGGAAGGTGGTATTTACTACATACGACTGGGGAAGAACCCACTTGAACACACACTTCCAACTGGTAATTACTATTGGGAAACTTGTCTATTTTCCGTGAATCCCAACTTCTCCCACATGCTGACCTTTTCTTTAATTAATGGCTATATAATTAATTTAAAAGTCTAAAAATTAATGCACTAAAGCCAGATTGCGCCCAAAACAGTTTAGCCTATATCTATTAGCTCACATGTGAGGTCAGAGCCGAATAATAGGAGGGCCTGCAAACACTTTTGCCTGTAATAAGTGTCAGTTTTAGATATAACAAAATACAAGTTAGAAGCTATAACATATTGATATATTTTAATCAATTTCTTTGTTACCAAGAGACTGCCATCAACATCATAATCTCATTAGGCTACTTCTTCAAAATCCTCTATCTAGTAGCCTACAGCCTTGAGCCTATTTCAAGTCATGGAGGGCAAGAGGGTGTAAATAGGCATACAAAGGGGCCCAATAAAACATTTTTTCTTCTTCTAAATCTTCATCTCATAAACTGATCATGGGTACAGTCAGAGGCATATATTTCGCTTGTCTCAGCCTGTCATGTTGTGCCTTTGTCCCATTGCTTGGTCCCCATGTAGCCATACCAAAAAGAGGATTGGACACATTACAGACTAACGTTACTCTGTTTGGCCAAAAGAGCTTAAAACGTTTCAGAAACCTGCATGCTAAGGATACACAGCCTATGCACGTTTCTAAACGCCCACAAGGCTATGAAAACGTTTGAAATAGACATATAAATAGACAATAGGCTACACACCTCTCGATCAGAGCGTTTTGTTTGCAGTCAATGAAAATCTGTTACAATCTGCTCCATTGTAACTAATCTGAATTATCCACAAAGCGTCTGTAACAACCACCCGGAAGCAACCATGGGAAAACTTCCGCAGGTCGGAATGCTCCAAGTTTCAGGCATGATAGGGGGAGAATTTTGGTTAGTATTTTTTTAAATATTCAACGGTTTTGAGACGTGATATCCATGCATAAATGAATTTGTTATGAAATTCACAAAATAGGAATTTGCGTCTCATTAATGCAATCATGCAATTTTAAAATGATGTGTGTTTTAAAGAAAATGTGTTGTGCACCCCCCCCCCCGGCTAGTGCAGTATACTGTCAAGATAGGAGTATTTTCTTCTTAGCACAAGGGTTGCAAAACAACTCTATTTTGCTCAGGTGATAGCCCAATATGTAGCTAGTTTGTTAACCAATATGCACGATTTAATTGTAGTTTTGATAAATATATCAAAGTATTGTTGAATGAATCAAATGTCAGTCTAGAAAAATAAAATATTGATGGCTCGCAAAATGGTATCGACTGTCAAGTCTGGTCATGGCGTCTGAATTTTGGCGCTAGCTAGCCAGTGTCAGTGTCAGTGTGGACATCACATGCACGAGCCAAGGTACTTTAACGTTACCGGTATATCTTTTTTTATATTGTTTTTAGCTAAACATTAACCTAACTTGTACCTATTAGCTAGCTACTGTACAGTGTTTAGCTAGCCAGTCTTACTGACATTTCCAGTGATGTCATGAAAGTGCAATATGAACTTCCCTCGAGCGTTCTAGTATTGGTTTCTACATCATGTTGACATTCCATTGAGGTCTTCAGCTAGCTAACTGGCTAGTTATCTACAGTTCAGATACCCATTGAAAACGCGTGCTGCAAAAGTAAAGGACAGTCTTGCTAGCTTGCGCTACTGTTATTTCTACTCAAGCAGACGTAACTTAACGTATAGTAGATTAGCCTGCATGTGTTGTCTTTTATCAGGATGGTGGACACCAAGCATGTGTTCCAAGTGTCTGGGATCAAGAATCTAAAGAAGAAGGGAAAGTTGCTCCATGGCATCCTTCAACTGGGTGGGAAGTACATTGGTGGCTCTGTAAGTGTTGACATAATATAGACTTTATCTTCCCCCCCCCCCCCCCCCCCCCCTTATAAGCAGAAAATAGCACCAAAGGCCAGGCCATTATGAGAGCTGGATGGCACCTGTCACTGTCAAGACAGTTCATTGAGAAAAAGATTAACAGTGGGTGATTAGTCCTGAAAAATGACCTTAATTGGTTTCTGATGTTGGGATGTATTTTTGACTCTGTCATTTTATCCTTGCCCTCAATTGGCTCTTATTATAGTTACTGTACATTTACCTCCAGTCTCAGGGGCACACAATGTGCTGCAAAGTTCATATCCCTTTATCCCCCCATGACTCTGCAGGAGGGTTACAACAAGAATGGTCACTGGTAGTTTTCATAGAGTCAGTTTAGAACTTTGTTGCTGACCTTTTGGTATCCATTGTTTTATTTACTATGTACTAGGCCTATATCAAATGAGTTGGCAGACCACATAGGATATTTTCAATGCCACCAAAACATTCAGCTTTATTTAGATTGTTTGCCTTGGTTGAGTTAAAGCAGATGTGTTGCTCTTCCAGGTTTATAAAGATGGAACCACCCATCTGATTGTGAACCATGAGCTGCTGAGTGAGAAGTTCATTGCAGCCTGTGCAGGAGGTAAGTAATGATGAATTTAAGCATTACACTTACTAGGTGTTATATAAACTTAGTGTACAAAACATTAGGAACACTTGCGCTTTCCATGACAGACTGACCAGGTGAATCCAGGTGAAAGCTATGATCCCTTATTGATGTCACTTGTTCAATCCACTTCAATCAGTGTAGATGGGGTAGGAGACAGGTTAAAGAAGGATTTTTAAGCCTTGAGACAATTGAGACATGGATTGTGTATGTGTGCCATTCAGAGGGTGAATGGGCAATACAAAATATTTAGTAGGTAGTAGGTGCCAGGCGCACCGGTTTGAGTGTGTCAAGAAATGCAACGCTGCTGGGTTTTTCACGCTCAACAGTTTCCTGAGTGTATCAAGAATGGTCCACCACCCAATGGACATCCAGCCAACTTGACACAACTGTGGGAATCATTGGAGTCAACATGGGTCAGCATTCCTATGGAATGCTTTTGTCACCTTGTAGTCCATGCCCAACGAATGTAGGCTTTTCTGAGGGCAAAAGGGGGTGCAACTCAATATTAGGAAGGTGTTCCTAATGTTTTGTACACTCAGTGTATTAGGTAGCAAGTCTTGTCAAAGTCAGCTTGTACAGATTATAGAGGGATTCAACAGCTTCATACTCTCATGGACCTTTCAGAAGTTCCATTATTTTGTGTTGTTTGTTGTTTCTCTTCCCTCTCTGTCAGGCAAATGGATCGTGACTCCAGAATATATTTTTGACTCTGTTAAGAACGGCTTGTGGCTGCCAGAGGGGCCCTATGAGTTGGACATTGTCTCCATGGGGGGAGTCCCTGGGGCCTCTAACCCAGTGAAGGTGTGGAGGGAGAGGGTGACCAGCGGGGCCATGGCTGGGGCCTTCGAGGGCTGGAGGGTCCTTCTGATGGTCAACGAGCCTACTCACAGAGACATGCTCAGAAGGTGGTCTTCAGAATTGTAGTGGGCAGTAATATTTTACGTGTATATATGGTATTATAAATTCCTCACATGTGACTCGTAATGAAACTAAGCAATTAGCCTATTAACATGTTTATCTGACTCCATAAAGATAATTAGCAATATGCAAGAGACTATGGTTGAGTTACAGTAATAGACAATGAAGAAATGTCTGAGAATGGAATTCTAAATACACGCAATGCCCCATAATGACAAAGCAAAAACAGTTTTTTTGACATTTTTGCACATTTATTACAAGTATAAAATTGAAATATGACATTTACATAAATATTCAGACCCTTTACTCAGTACTTTGTTGAAGCACCTTTTGCAGCAATTACAACCTTGAGTCTTCTTGGGCATGACACTACAAGCTTGGCACACCTGTATTTGGGGATTTTCACCCATTCTTCTCTGCAGATCCTCTCAAGCTCTGTCAGGTTGGATGGGGAGCATCGCTGCACAGCTATTTTCAGGTCTCTCCAGAGATGTTCGATCGGGTTCAAGTCCGGGTGCTGGTTGGGCCACTCGAGGACATTCAGAGACTTGTCCCGAAGCCACTCCTGCGTTGTCTTGGCTATGTGCTTAGGGTCGTTGTCCTGTTGGAAGGTGAACCTTTGCCCCAGTCTTAGGTCCTGAGCGCTCTGGAGCAGGTTTTCGTCAAGGATCTCTGTACTTTGCTCCGTTCATCTTTCCGTCGATCCTGACAGTCTCCCAGTCTCTGCTGCTGAAAAACATCCCCACAGCATGATGTTGCCACCACCATGCTTCACCGTAGGGATGGTGCCAGGTTTCCTCCAGACATGACACTTGGCATTCAGGCCGAAGAGTTCAATCTTGGTTTCATCAGACCAGAGAATCTTGTTTCTCATGGTCTGAGAGTCCTTTTGGTGCCTTTTGGCAAACTCCAAGCGGGCTGTCATGTGCCTTTTACTGAGGAGTAGCTTCCGTCTGGCCACTCTACCATAAATACCTGATTGGTGTAGTGCTGCAGAGATGGTTGTCCTTCTGGAAGGTTCTCCCATCTCCACAGAGGAAGTCTGGAGCTCTGTCAGAGTGACCATTAGGTTCTTGGTTACCTCCCTGACCAAGGCCCTTCTCCCCCGATTGCTCAGTTTGGCCGGGCGGCCAGCTCTAGGAAGAATCTTGGTGGTTCCAAACTTCTTCCATTTAAGAATGATGGAGGCCACTGTGTTCTTGGGGACTTTCAGTGCTGCAGAACATTTTTGGTACCCTTCCCCAGATCTGTGCCTCGACACAATCCTAGCTCGGACAATTCCTTCGACCTCATGGCTTGGTTTTTGCTCTGACATGCACTGTCAACTGTGGGACCTTATATAGACATATATGTGCCTTTCCAAATCATGTCCAATCAATTGAATTTACCACAGGTGGACTCCAAACAAGTTGTTGAAACATCTCAAGGATGATCTATTGAAATAGGATGCACCTGAGCTCAATTTCAAGTCTCATAGCAAATGGTCTGAATACTTATGTAAATAAGGTATTTCTGTTTTTGATTTTTTTATACATATTTACATGTTTTCGCTTTGTCATTATGGGGTATTGTGTGTAGATTGCTGAGGATAAAAAAAAAAAATGTAATCCATTTTAGAATAAGGCTGTAACGTAACAACGTGGAAAAAGTCAAGGGGTCTGAATACTTTCCGAATGCACTGTAGATCGTCAGGTTAACTTACAGGACAAAGCATGAACAAAGAGATGCTTACTAAGCCAGACAACTAGAAGCCTAGGAAATGACAATTGATCATACAATCTTCCTCCATGGACTGGATACAGGATAAGAACGAGAACATTCATAACATTTGTAACCTTTCAACCCAAAACAAACCACCATTGATCAATCAAGCGATACCAATTTTAGAGTAACCTGAACACTCCCAGGGTGTCACAGCATCTAAGAGCTTTTGTGGGGGATGAGACCAATGTAAATAAGACAGAATTCCTGAGAAGACAATACAACTCCTTTGTGTAATAGAGTGATTCAGAGTTCACCCTGTACAGTTACAGGTAACCACAGAGATCGTCCATCCATATAGATAGCATCGGAGTTATACTCAGTGAACAAGTTTCAGATAGATACCAAACATGGATAATATAGCATTATTCTATCACAATAGTCAGTCCTCTGGATACCGTGACATGGAGATACATTTTGGCCCCTCACAGGGGCTAGGGCTGACTAGTCCTTAGGCATTGACCTTTTGTTCCTGGATCATTTTCCATGCAGCTCCAGGTGACAGAGAACACAAATTAGGGCTGAGCCTACAGAATTGTCTTGAAATTAAATGGAATTGACCTCAAATTGACCTCAAACCTTATGCTTAGACTAGTAAATTATGCATTTCTTGTCGTATCAAAAATGTTGTGTACTGTATTTGCCTAATCAAATATCAGATACACCATTACACCTGTCACTTAATTTATCATTAACATGTATTTTTTTCAGAATCCTAAAAGCTGGGAAGGCCAATGTGTACTCATACCCTCCTCCCTCCCATGCTGACGTGACACACGTGTTGACAAAACATATCGTAGACCGTGTGAAGGCCCACAATGCACCATGCTACTCCATAGAACACATGGCCCTGCATCTTTTTGGGGTAAATGTCAACATAGATGTCAGATGATTCACTTAATTAACAATTGCACCCAGTGAAAGGCTTGTATAATACGGCTAATCGTAAATGCTCTGTCTTGTCTTCAGCAGAACGTGTGTTCTGATATGGGTTTAACCTGGACAGTGGGCCAGCCAGAGGAGACACAGGAGGCCAATGACGCTCTCTCCACAGACTTTTCAGAGCTGGAGAGCGAGGCCAGGGACTACATCTCTCAAATAGAGGTGAGGGGTGAGGGGCGGGTCTTTTCAAATCCGTCTGTGTTTAGCAATGGAGCACAAGGTTCCAATCATTGTTTTTCTGGGTGAAAACTCATGTCAGACGTACAACATTTCCAGTCGTCATTTTAATGACTGCTCTGGCTGCATATGTGACATTGTGGATGGCTCGTTTCATGCAGGAGCGGAAAAGACTCCCAGATATCCTGAGCTACTATGCCCCCGGACCGTACGCTCAGGTATGCAGATCTGCTCAAAGCATAGTAATACATCTACCATACATGAGTATTATACAACTGTAAAATGAGTGTGCGACACGTCAAAGGAGATCAGGTCATTCAATTTCCTTTATGTCAGGAGCCTCACTCAAAAGGTGTCATTTTGTGCATTGACACATCATATCCGGATCACCTGATTTAACCAATGCTGTCAGTTGATTGGTTTAATGCGTGATTGGCAGACCTATTAAAGGTAGTCTCTCACTGTCCCTCCGACGCCTTCCCAAGTGGACTTTCCTCCGATTGCTATTATAAACGGCCAAGTAGGCAATAGATGACAGTTACCAAGATGACCCGAGGAACTTCTGACGTCCTTCTCTTCTACTTTTCTCTTTCTCCGCCCAACCGCTCACGCCATCCTCCGTCTCTCTCTCTCTCTATTGCTGTAGACGGTCGGAGCCAACTTCAGCAATGTGCAGAGCCTCACTGAGTGTGGTTTATTCACCCAAGCCCTAGAGGAACTCCAGCTATATCTGCTGCCAGGGCAGCTCCCCCCAGCCCCATTTCTCCAGCCCCTCATGCATCACGCTCTACACGTAAGAACACACAAACTATTTGTTGTCTGTGTTCATAGTAGAAACCCAAAACCTGTTTCCCTGGCCACTCATAGCTCCTCTTTTCCAGGGCGACGCCAAGCCTTTCTTTCTCAGTGAGTTCCGCACGGTTCTCTACAGCATCCTGAGGAACAACCCTCCCTGGGGTTCTCCGGCTAGCGGGACATTCTTCATGAAGGTGCTGCAGTGTCCCCAGTGTCAAAAAGGAGTCTGGCCCCTTTTGGAGACATCACTCAGGTATAGAACACTAGAGACTCCTATACATAGGCCATAAACTGTATGTCCCAATAACCTCTGTTCAAAGGATTATTTTAATCTGAGATACCCAAGTCTCCTGTGTTTTCATGGGCTATTGCCAATTCTACTATGATATCCATCTCCTTTCTATGTTGTACCCATCCTCTTCCTCCTTTTGGTGTCTCTGTGTTTCTCCAGGTTCTGCATGGGTAGCAAGCCCTGTCATTCACTCCCTAGCCCCGCCTCCCCAGAGCTGCTCCGCTTCCATGGTGACCTGCAGGCCTTCATGCTCGAGCTCTTTAAGTGTGACATGCACTCAGCTAACAAAGGGTAATCACCACCTATAGGACACAGGCATATATTGGCGTAATGTAGAAAACAGGCATCACTTACTTTGAAACAACTGCGACAGTTCTAATCAACGCCATGCACCACAGACACAACACTGTGGATATTGCAACATGTCCTCCCTCTTCCCTCAGAGAGGTGGGAGACTTGCGGTCGTCCGTCCTCTACAGGGTGTTCTGGAGCCTGTGGGAGCGCTCGACGCTGGGCTCCAGGGCCGTGCAGCAGCTGGCCCAGCTCCTGGTCCAGGCTTCACAGTGGGAACGCTCTGTCTCTGAGGTAAACCTGGACACATTCCCCAAGTCCCTGTTCCTGTCCTCACCAACCGTCCAGAAGACCTACATCCCTGTCCCGCCCATAGTTTAGTTCAGTCAAAGTCAACTCCAAGTCAATTCTGAAATTGCAGCGCACCATCTAAGGCAGTGGTTTCCAAACTGTGGGGCACGGGGTCAGCAGGGGGGACGCAGGGTCTTTTATTTTTTAAGGAACACAGTCCGGCTTTAAACTTACTCTTGAGAGTTGTAATAGTAGAATGAACAAGGTGCAATTTTGAAATTGGGTAGTGCATCATCAGTTCCTCTTGTCATGTTAGTCATTGCATACCTTTGAGAGCTATTTATAAATATGCAGATCAACTAGCCCTTGTCAGCTAATGTTTTTGTATTTAGTTTTTTTAGGCCATAGGTATTGTTGTAATTTTTTTTTCACTCAAATATCACATGAACACACATTAGACAAGCCAAAATGTATAGAATTTCGAGAAGATTTGCTTTACAACTGCAAAATGTGCTTTGAACCCATGACAAAATGTGTAGAGTTGCAGGAAACAAGCTTTAAACCTGCACAATTCTCTCCAAATCACAAGAGGGGTGTGACTAGTTTGTGTCATGAACAGTGCTTGTGCCCATAAAAATAGACGTGGCACGCACACGGAGGGAGGGGGATGTTCCCCAATGCTGGAAGGGGGAAAACCCTGATCTAAGGAGTGGACACCGTTCATGTTCCATATACAGCACATAACAGGAATTGTAATGGAATCGGGCCCACACTCTGGTCCAGCTATGTAGCCAACTACCCGTCTCTGTCCTTGTGCTGTGGTTGCTGCGTAGGGTCAGGAGAGGGACTGGGAAAGGGACAGGAGGCAGACGCTGGTGCTGACCCTGCAGGACACACTGGGCGTGGTGGTGGACTTCTGGTGGCAGGAACACAGCCACCTCAACCGCAGCCTGGTGGACAAATGCCTAGAGGACCTGGCTCAACACATCGCCATCCTCTGTCAGGGTACGCTGCCCTGCACACAGTCTGAGGCGCCGGCCCAAATGACACTCTATTCCCGATATAGTACACACCTTTTGCACTACCTGTGGACCCTGGTCAGAAGTAGTGCACTATATAGGGAATAGGGTACCATTTGGGACGCAACCAGTCTGACACACAGCAGCAAAGATTTAATCATGTATTCTAACTGATTCAATGTTGATGTGGAGGGTATTCTTCCTGCCCCAGACCTGCCCCCAGACGTACTCCAGACGTTTGTTCCCGGGATGGTCCCAACCAGGCTACGGATGGTCACGGCAGACGCCATCTTCAGGAACGTGTGCTGCAGGAACGGCATCACAATAGGAGCAGAGCCCCTCTCGCTAAGGAAGATTGTAAGTTTTGGCCAAGTCCAAGTTAGAATGTGTTTGGTTTCCCCGTCCGGCTGTTGTGTCCCAGGTGTAGTACTAGTGCAACAGCAGTACAGTGTATTGGGGCTCCGTTGCACAGACAGGCCAGTTGCTGGCCTCTCACTCTCACAGCTGCTAACTCTGGTGCTGTCTTTATCACTCTGTCCAACACACACACACCTATACTACAGAGGCAGTCCCTATAAAGACCCTCTTTCCCCTTCCCTCCCCTGTGTGTGTGTCCTGACAGGTGTCCTCCTACCTGCCTGCCCTGAGGAGGCTGTGTGCAGTCAGGACAGGTGGCTCCAGAGACCCGCGGGCCGACAGCGGGGGCCCTCAGCCTGGGACTGAACCCACCTCCTGCAGCTGGAGCACCCAGGGGACTGCGACAGGGTGAGTCTGTCTGTCTTGTGTGTCTGTGCCCCCCGTTGGGGACCGCTGGCTACTCCAGTCAGGCTAAACAGAGGCCAGCCAACCAACCTCCCTGGGGGCAACAGAGGACTGAAGGTGTGGAGAGGGGAAAGGTGTGTGGATGGGAGGGGTGAGAAAGGGAGGAGATGTGGTGAAAGGAAGTGGGAAAGAGGGAGAACACCTGGGGAAAAAGAGTGGGGTGAGAGGATGGCATAGGAGAGGAGAGTGTAAGAGAGGAGGTCAGAGGGAGTGTGGAGATGAGGTCAGAGGGAGTGTGGAGATGAGGTCAGAGGGAGTGTGGAGATGAGGTCAGAGGGAGTGTGGAGATGAGGTCAGAGGGAGTGTGGAGATGAGGTCAGAGGGAGTGTGGAGATGAGGTCAGAGGGAGTGTGGAGATGAGGTCAGAGGGGGTGTGGAGATGAGGTCAGAGGGAGTGTGGAGATGAGGTCAGAGGGAGTGTGGAGATGAGGTCAGAGGGAGTGTGGAGAGGAGGTCAGAGGGAGTGTGGAGATGAGGAGGCATCAGTGGACATGCCTCATCACATGGCTGTGTGTCAGAGTTTACAGGAGAGGTGGAGAAAGCAGGTTCCCCCCTGCCTCATACCAGGAAGCTGCTGCTGTTCAACACCCCGCCGCTGGCACAGACACAGGCAGGGGCCGCTCGGGATGAGGTTCACCTCGGGGCTAGCGGTTCACTCACCGACCAGCCTCGGCCTCTTTTCCCTCACACTTATTCACCACCTTTTTCAATAGGAAATCAAAAACAATGTTTTTTGTTACCTCAAAAACAATGAATATATTTTTCATTTAATAATTGTGTATTGCTCAGAGAGGTGGAGAGAGGGGGTTTAGAAAGCTGAGCTAGCATGTGAGAGAGGCCATGAATGTGTTCTTAATAATCAAGTGTGTTATGAGGAGAGGAGAGGAGAAGAGAGGAGTCCTCTTCCTGTATGGACAGCTTGCCATCAGAGCACAAGTCCAGACAAAGACTGGCGGGAGGCTCTCCATAATTGAAGCCCCGTTTCCTCCTGCTGGCTTAATCAAGCAGAGCTTATTGTATTTCTGTTTGAGCCCGTTTGGGTTTGTCATTCTCTGTCTCGCTCTCTCGCCCTCTCTCGACACATGTTACTGTAGTCTAGCAGTTAGAGCGTTGGGCCAGTAACCAAAAGCCGACAAGTTGAAAAATCTGCCGATGTGTCTTTTGAGCAGAGCACTTAACCCTAATTTGCTCCAGGGGCGCCATACTACTATGGCTGACGCTGTAAAACAACACATTTCACTGCACCTATCCGGTGTATGTGACAATAAAACATAGATATTTTTAGTTGTTATTTTACTACAGCATCACTTAAAGGCACAGTAGGCAGCTTTTTTGGCGACCTGAACAATTTCACGTAGAAATGTGAGTTAAAGATCTGTCATTCTCATTGAAAGCAAGTCTGAGAAGCAGTAGATCCATTCTATGTGCACTATTTCTATGCTTCCCGTTAAGTTTAGTTTTGGTTAGTTCTACTTTCGCTTTTGTACACCAGCTTCAAACAGCTGAAAATACTATTTTAGCTTATTGAAAATATATTTCACAGCATTTTACATGGTACAATGATTCTCTACACCAGGGTTATTCAACTCTTACCCTAAGAGGTCCGGAGCCTGCTGTATTTATTTTGTATTTTATTTTTATTCAGAACATATACACATACAAACAAACGACGTCACACCTGCCCAGACCCACATGCTCACACCACCATCTCCAGCGCCTGCATCACGCTCCGCCACATGGCTTCAAACTGCACCATTTTGTTTCTCTCCATCGGCCATGCACTTTCAACATTTCGATAATAAAGCATTTGACTTTTCCATTGTGTTATCGATGGAGGATTGGTTGATTTCCAGTTAAGTATACATTTTTTCAAGATGATTGACGAGAAGAGTATCATCCAACCCATCAGGTATCTCACTTTACCCTCATATGCCATGTCTTGAAATATGAAGACAGACAGATTCAAAGTAAATTTACATTTGTAATACTTCTGACAGCCAACTTTCTAACTCCGCCCATAACTTTTGGACTTTATAACATTCCCAGAAGGCATAGAGTATTGAGTCCTTGTTAGTTTAACACTTAAGACATGACTCTGCCGTTGTGCTGTAGAATTTGTGAATGTTGTCGCTTGTATAATACATTCTATACATTAGTTTATACTGTATTAAGCGTACATTTTCATTAACTGTAATTTTGTTAGTTATGTTCCATCATTCCCTCCATCTTGTGCCAATATCAGTTATTTTTAAGTATTGGTTCCAATAGTTTATATTTATTTCTAAGAGATTGTTAGTTGGATAGGTTCTCTGCAAGATTTTGGATATCTTACCTATCATATGAATATCCTTTTTTGACTCAAATAGGATTCCCTCAAGATTGCTCTGATGTCTAAAACATTTCAAACCAAAATTTCATGATATGAAAGTTAAGTTGCATGTACATTGGTCAGTCCAAAATTGCTTTTTAATTCTGTAATGAAAATACATTTATTTCCTATTACAAAGTCATTTACGCGCTTAGCTTTCCATGTGGAGCAATTTAATGGTGAATTCTGAAAAGCCTGCTAGTTTTGTGTTCTACCCGATAATGAATTGCATACACCTGGTGTCCCAGGTCTAAATCAGTCCCTGATTAGAGGGGAAGAATGAAAAAGAGCAGTGGAACTGGCTTCGAAATCCAGAGTTGAGTTTGAGGGCTCTATACTATACATTGCTTGTTTTGTCACATAAGCTGAAATTAGGCAAACCATTAGAATTTTTGCAACCAAGAAATGGCAGTGATTTCTGCCTATTGTACCTTTTTTTAAATGAAAGAAATCTGCTTTTATGGCTAGAATTGAGTGAAAAAAATGACAATTTAGGCTGGTTCGTATGCAATTTAACAACAGCAGTGTCAGTTGTGGAAGGGTTTCTTATATGTTTGCTGCCTCTCTGATTCTGAGGTGATCTTTATCACACCTTGTGGGGTGGAAATGGCACAGGAGAGCGTCTGCTGCCTGTGTGTGTGTGTGTGTGTGTGTGTGTGTGTGTGTGTGTGTGTATTCTGTGTTGGTGTATGGCTTATTGTACAATGCCCCCGGGCTTGCAGTGATCCTGCACCCAGAGTGACAGAACGATAATCCCCTATAGTATGGTCGATCATAGGGGAATGAGAAAGAATAGGTCCACTCGCCAAGTCTATTGCCAGTCTCCCCATGTGGACAGGGTACTTTTGTACTTTTGGGTTAAGTGGGATGAGATAAAATGTTACACACACACACACAGGCACTTCTGATCTCTTCACAGACTTGTCCCTGCTAATAACAAGCTATGTGACAGAACGCGTGTTCCTCCCGCACTGTCGGGGAGATTCCGCCCGGGTTCTGAACAACCCAATTACCAGGGAACAAGCAGGCTTCCCTATAGTAAAGCATGGCATCCCCTCTCTCTCCTCCTCTTCCCTGTCACCCACATGTCAGACGTCCTGCTGGCAGCCAGGCAGCAGGTCTCCCCTCCACACACTCACTCACAGTACTGCTGACAGCCATACAGCTATTAGCACTACGCAGCTTTGAAGAGCACGCTTTCACTTCTTCTTTATTTATTTCTCATAATCTACTTTTTCCCCTTTTTGAATTGACTCGGTTGGGGTTTTACTTACTAAGTGGAGGAAAACTGACGGGGAAAAAGGACTTGTGATGCCTGCGAAGCCACAGTGTGTGGTAGACTGTGGTAGTTTGATCAAGCGCGTCGTCGCTACCTAGATGGGACTGTATTGCGGTATTCTGCAGCCAGGTCACTTAGCTCAAGCTGTAGTGCTACTGCTGCACGGCCAAACTGGTCATCTCTCCTTGACCATGTCATCTTGAATACTGTAGGAAATATTGAGTTGAATTTAGAGGATTCATTTACCCAGCGTCCTCCTAGGTGTTTACACTACCTCACAGGATCCATTTCCTCAGTGCAATCGGGTGTGACCTTCATTTTGGTTAATCTTCAAATGGGGGGGGGGGGGGGAGCAGTGCAGAGCAGATGAGTAACACACTGACTGCACTGTATTTGAGAGTATGGGCTTTAGTAGGTGCAAAATGCTTCACAGTGACAGCCATTAAAAGACTGTGCTGGGAGTATCTCTTTGTCAGGGTCCTGGTAGTTGTCTGTTTGAATGAGGCACAGCACAGTGGCCCTGTACACACTGCTGCCACTGCTCTGTTACTCAGGATGTTCCATTGCTTTGTGTCTGTCGGTCTGTGTCTTCCTAACGTGTAGGCGTACTATTCCCAGCTGTGAGAGGAATTTCCTCTCTATGGACATTCGTTGTGGCAGTATTAAATACTTTGACGAAATGCCAGTCAGATGGCCGTGATGATAATGTTTGATGTCAGAGCTTACCCTGTCTCCCGTCTCTACCCAGAATGGCCAGCAGTCTGGTTAACGGAGCAGGTCTGGGCAAGGAGAACATCCCCAGAGGTCTCAACCGAGTCAACACAGCAGGTAACACCAACACACACGAACACACACATACACACGCTTCTCTGCATATTTGCAAGAAAAAAAATAGTTTTAATAGACATGCACAGGACTAGGTCATCAGTAGAGCGAGGACACGAGAGCCTTGTCATCCGTTTGAACTTAATGAAGAGCCCATTATGTATTTATAACGCCATGGATTAGCATATGCCAACACAACCTTGCAACCAACCGAACAGAAGCTCTTATGGTGCAGCTATGTGGGTGAAGGGTGAATTCAACAGGCTTTTCTCACCTTGTTTGCCACCTCTGACATTCTCATTGAAATTCCACACACTCTTTATTTTTTTGGATCTGTTATTCACATTTTTTAGTGTAAAAAAGAATAATCACACGGATAAAAGAGAAACGTGGAAATAATGACGAAAGACAACACCACCACATGGGCGTCAGATCCCCAGTTTAAGAATATTAAACACAGCAATTAGGGCTGTGCTGTGAAAGTGACTGACTGCGTGCAGAACTTCCTGCACTTAGAGGCTTGGCACTCTGTGTGAAGTCTCTGAGGTGTCAGCGCTCATATCTCCCCCCTCACCTGATCAGAAAGGCCCTGCACCAGAGGCAGGGAGCTGGTGGGCAGGCAGAGGCAGGAGGCTCCAGGCTGTTTGCATGTGTTGTTTTTCCACTACGTGATCTCTATACTGATGCGCTCAGCATTAATTTTTGATGAACCATCAGCACATCCTCGCTCTCACACATGCCCGGGCTCTCTCTCACACACACACACACACAGGCACACATATACACACACACACACACACACACACACAAACACAAACACAAACACACAGATTTCATCTTGCTTTCCTATGAGCAATTTTTCTGTGCTGCATATCTTCAACTCTACAGCCACTGGATCTCCCCTCTAGCAGCTGTGAAGGGCTGTGGGTTTGGGAAGGTCATTGTCTGTGCTCTGGCAGTTCTACAATCTCCTTGGTGAAAGTTCTGTCCTAACTCCACTGTTGAGTTTCTTGGGTGCTACTAACATAGCTAGCATTGAGGAGAGCAGACTCTTATAGTAGGTGAGGTACAACATTAAAAAGTGACATATTGTACTCCTGCTCCCTGTTCGAACACTCAATTGAAATTGCATCGCTATCCAGTGACCACCGTCTTGTGATACTCTATACATACATCAAATCAGTCCCTGTCGTAGGTCACAGATCAAGCCTAATTCACAACATTCTTCCTCAGTTTTTCAACTTCCATGGCAAGCCAGGTTTGGTGTTTCATACAGTAGGATATTACCATCCAAGCATGTAAGAGGTTTGGTGTTTCATACAGTAGGATATTACCATCCAAGCATGTAAGAGGTTGTACATTCAGACATTGGTTTAAATGAATACTTGGCACTCTGTATAGGTTTCTAGCACCATTCTGACAAATAGCATTCTTATTGGAACCGATTGCCATCATCTTTTTGAACCAGCTTGCCAGTCAACATATAGCACGGGTACACAGACAAAGTAGGGGGGGGGGGGGCAACACATACATTTAACTTTTCTATTAAAGAGTGAAATGGGGGGATTGTTAGAGGGATTTATAGAAAAGGGCAGGCGGATTTATCCTTTCCGTGCTTATAAATGCTGAGCATGCAATTACCCCTATAATGGAGGCATTTCATCCAAATTGGAGCCATTCCAGTGATTTAACAGTGCGTGGATTGGGCCTGGCATTTGCGAGGATGTGTACACATGGGGAGCTGTGGAATGGGTGTTTAATCACAGCGTTTTAGAGGCTGTAATGGTGGAACACACTGCAGAACGCTGACCTGCCACAGTGCAGAACAACTCATTAAGGCCCACTTGGACTTCACTCTCTATAGTCTAGGTATTGTTGTTTTTTAATCACTTGTAATTATTTGTCTAATTTGTATGTTTATTAGATTTGGAAATAATGTATTTACATGGAAAAAATGTGGTCTTATTTACGAGTTTCTTAACTGTATTGTAGGAAGATTGAGGAAGTAGTGCTTATGAGGGAGAGTTGCGTTGGAAACTGTGCTCATGTCGGCCATCTTGGCTCCAGTGTATTCCTCGCCGCATGGTGTGAGAGTATTGGTACGGATCAGTAACTCAGAGAGGAGAGTGTGCAGTTGGGGTCACGGTACTGTTCTGGGAAGCTCCACCGCCAGATCCGATCCACCAGTACCGGCTGTCCCTCTAAATTCCAAAACCCATAACTGAGCAGAGGCAGGATTAATTTTTGATTTCCAGTGTTTTGGGTTGGCGAGAGGGAACGTACCTAAGAGACGCTGGGTTGCTCTGCCAAGGGGAGGTGTTTTTTCGAGAAGGGCGCTGGGGCATGATACAGCAGGGCAACTAGGCACTGGAGATCTGAAACATATTCCACAACGACACAAGCTACCCTCCGCTTTGTGGCTTACCTCTGTATTTTGATACCAAAAAAGAAGAAAGAACAGTGAACCATTGCTGTTCCTCGTCCAGATGTTGTCGAAGCTCCAGATAAACAGCCTCTCTTTCTTTGCTGTCCTGCACTTCAACCTCTGTCAGGTGGAAAACACATTTAACGCATCTAATGCAACCTCAAAGACACCTCTGGGAAGAAAGGAACTCTTCAAGTTGAAAGTGTCGTGCATTTTCAATATTTCGCTGTGCCTTGAAATGCAGCAAGCCTCTTTTCCTCTCCCCTGCACTCCTGCCTGTCCTGTCTCTGTCTGCCCTCTCCTCCCTCTCTCCTCTCCTTCCTCTCTTCTCTCTCTCCTCTCCTCTCCTCCCTCTCCCCATGCCTTGCTCTGTGCTTCAGTGAAGGCTCTGTATGGTCAGGCAGTCTAGTAAAGCATTTATTATGGGCTTTGCAGTCCTGTATTATACTGGCAAGCAAAGAGGCACTCATGCTTGGCCTTTAACTTTCTTGTGAAGTTCAGCCATACATGAAAATAGGGGGTACTGGCCCTCTAATATATTCCTGATTTAATATTGTATCAAAAAGAGAGGGGGGCGGGGGGGGGGGGCATTGGAATATGTAAATAAAAGCCTTCTGAGGATTTTGTGTCTGGGTGTTGTAGTTTGCTGATTAAATATAACGTGGTACATTGGTAATGCCCAGTGGAGCTTTTGAACCCTGGATGTGTGAAGAATCCTGTTGGAGCCTGCCTTTGTGCCTGGGCTGTGTACCATAACTTCCTCCAGAGGAACAATACGTGACAGGAAGAGGCTCTTCTCACACTCACAGCCCGTTTATTAACTTTGTGCGGCACTGGTGTAAGTGGAAAATCCCTCTGTCCCCCAAAAAAAGAGGGAGGAGAAAGAGCCCAGTTCACCATCTTTTTTGTAACCTTTTTTTAAACTTGTTTTAATCTCCCCCCGTTTCTCATCTCTCCTCTTAAATCGCATTGTCATTGGAGGTCCGCCTTTTTAGGTCAGTTTTTTTTTTTGTGGTCGTTGAGGATATTTCTTCAGTACATTACTGGTGTGTGTGTAGCATAGGGGGACAATGGGTAGGACACACCCTAATTTGGGATTTCTCTCTTTTTTCCTCTCTTCTTCTCCTTTGTGCCCGTTGACGCGGTCCTGGCGAAGGCGAGACACTCCTCCACAGAGCCTGCAAGAAGAACCAGGTTGAGACGCTGCTCCAGATCCTAGCACTTCCTGGGACCGACGTCAACGTGAAAGGTAGGTCTCCCGACCCCCTCGCTCTCCCCTATCTCTCCCGCTGCCTCCATTTTAGAGTGTCGTGGAGCGATTTAACGTGGATATAGAGAAGGAAGGAAAAGAGAAGTGTGACCTTAAGCTAAAATGCAATGGGTGTGTCTTGGAGGAACGGGGTGTGTTGGAGGCTAGATGTACAGTCGCTATACCAAGCGAATGCACGTCCTCTGATATTTCCACCAGTTTTTTTTTACCCTCCCAGGGCAAATATAATAACTGTCATCTTCCTTTTCAGTCCATTTAAATTGCTTGTGCAGATGCAGCGTTATTTGAATAGTTTTAATGTGTTTCTTGATGATCGTCTAACGTGCTAAGTGGAGATTGGGTGAGGGACGAAGAGTAAAACCGGAGATGTGATGGCGAAAAGGAAACAGGACAAACTGAAGGGCTTGAAATTATAAAGTGGTGAGAGGACTAGTTTGAGTACAATCTCTGTGCTCTGGTGACATGGAGCACAAACCTGTCCCCATAATATGAGGCCTCTGGTCTCCGAGAAAGAAAACGCATAATGTTTATTTTAGAGCAACAAGAACGATTACACCTACAGAATACACCTACCTACCACACAGTAGGTATAGATTTAGACTTGCTTCTCTAGATCAAGATAGATTTAAGCTATTAAGTATTACGTTTTAGTGTGTGTGTGTCTGGCGTTGGATGTAGAGAAATGATTAGAGTATCCTAGATTATTTGTTTTTCAAATGAAAAGATGGCTACTATTAGCTATGAAGATATTAGCAGTATAATATGTTAGTTGTGTTTGATGGTTGTCATAGGTGTTGTCCTCCATTTAACTCAATGCAGAATTCAATCTTTAAAATATAGTTGGATGACCGTTTGGTCTGTGTTACTCCTCAGACCACGCAGGCTGGACGCCCCTGCACGAGGCGTGTAACCATGGCAGCATTGCGTGTGTGGAGGCCCTGCTGCGCCACCAGCCCACCCCTCACCTGTACAGCCAGGTGGGTGGAGTCAGCCCGCTACACGACGCGCTGCTCGGCGGACACACGGACATCGCCATGATGCTCCTGCAGCATGCAGGTCAGTCAGCACGCATGGTATACCGAAACTTCTGTACTTTTTCGATACTGGAACATGAAAAATTGTTTGGTACTACAATTTTTGTTCCTATTGGTACTTCTGTCAAATATGTTTCACGATGTATAGAGATTAAGAGGAACTTTGGAGACTTCTAAGTATTTTTTGAAACCTCCCGCTTTGTGCTGGATGTGTCAATGTGTAGTTCATACATGCATAATCTATGAGCAGAATTACTGTCTTGCCTCAATTAGTCATGAAATCCCTAATTTGAAAGCAGCTGTTTTTCTGGAAGTGGTGCTGTGCCATTTTTCCTATATTTTCACTCATGTGGGCCAGCCCCCTAGCAATTAAATGTCAACCAATGAGCTTCAGCCCCTCACAATTTGAGTGACAGCTAGCAGGAGGCACATCATGCACACACTGCAGAGCGAGAGAGAGTGCAATGACGAGGTGCACATATCATATATGACGTAGTACGCAGTTTTAGGGGACCACTTTTGGCTCGTGAGCGCTACTTTCAAAACTACTGGCTTAAAAGTATACAAAAGTACAGGAAAATTCTTTTTAGTACCTTACTGTAATAGTTTGCATTAAAATGGGCAAAAATTGCTTTTTTAGCAAAAAACTATTTCAAGCAAGAATATTGCTAGCACGTTCTGGGAGTGGTCTGACTGGGGAAAGGAAAATTGAAAACTAGCTGTTATTGGCAGAGAGGTTTGGAACTCTCTTTGTTATTGGTCTATTAACCAATTTACCGCATGGCGATGTCACCATGGAAAGACAAAACTCCCGCCCATGCAAAGCTGCTGATTAGAAGCAACTAGCAGGAAATAACACTGACCAAATATGTTCACACTTTTACACAGGAAAAAAATAATTGTGACAGCACTGGGCCTTTAACACACTTGAATAATGCAACACAGCATGTAGAAATGTTGAAACATTACTGTCCGCAAAACAATGTCCATACAGGCTAGAACACGCTACAATGCAAGAAGTTACCGGTAGCGTCCAGCTTTGGAGGCTAACTTTCCTTGCTAGCTTACAGCTGAAGCTAACGTCAGTTCACTACCCTAGTACTTTGTTTGTGATAATACGCAAACCATAACACAAAATATGCTGATTGTCACCAAAAACTTTATGCATTCACTTAATCGTCTCTCCCTCAAGTCTCTCCCTCATACTGACTGTGTATGCATGTGCCTTGTGAATGATGTGATTACTGAGTCTTAAAGAGACAGTGCACACTTTTATAAAATAAGATTGCTACTTCTATGCAAATGTTGTTGATCAGTACAATAAAATAAGTCCCGAATGGAAGGGGAAACAGATTGTTCAATAACTCAATGCATGCACACACTCCTATTGAATGTGCATTCACCTGAATTGTGAATAGGCCTATATATTGATTTATCCAGTTTATCAATAGCGATTTACCATTCAAATAAATTATTACCATTATGTTGTTATGTAGTTAGATTGGTAAAAACAAAGTCAAATGTATTGTATGATTGTATAATTGATTCATTAATGCATACATGGCTGTCTGAAAGACTTACATAAAACGTTTCAAATGTAATATGATATTGAACTCAAAAGATGTCCAACGATTGAACAGAGCAGTAGCTGAGTTTATCTGTCTGGATCAAATGTCGTTCTGTGACTTTGGCTAATACGACTTATTTTTTTGCCGTGGCCTCATTTTGGAATTGTGTGTCATGATGGTATCGAGTGTTGTGATACTAAACCTGGTATCGAAGTCAAAATGATGGTATCGTGACCACACACACGCACACAAATATATACACACACACACACACACACACACACACACACACAGAAACAAATGCATACATTCACACACAAGGTCAAATAGTTACTTTATTGGTTTCAGTTTGAGGGGTAGCTTATTTGGACTACTATAGTGTTTGGAAAAGTAGCCTAACCATTGAATGAGGTGAGAGGAATATGGATGGATGAATGAGTCTGAAATGTAGCTTTGATGTATCAGGGAAATTAGCACTGGATTTTAGCGGCCTAACAGTCTTATGCCCGCAGTCTCAAATCTAAATAATCTATGCATCTCTACTACCCCCCCCACCACCCTCTCTTCCACCCTGCTTCTTCCTCTTCCTTTCTGTGTTCCATCGCAACGTCTGTCCAAACGTATTACCCATCCACTCATAAGATGTCTGTTCATGTCTTTTTGAAGAGATTATAGTCGTCAGGTTCTGCCGCTTGTGAAATTCACACGCTGGTTTGGTGGGAAATGTGTCACAACAGAAATAGTTTGTGTGTCTCCGTGTGTTTGCTTGCCACATGCAATCGCGGTTTGGGAGCTTTGAAGTGAGTGTGACACGTGTCAAAGCGAAAGGGGGGAGGGGTGGTGGATGCATAGATGTGTGTGTGTGTGTGTGTGTGGTGGTGGTGTGGGGGGGTAGACGGCGTTGAACAAGATTCCCATGTACGCTGTCGCCACTTCCCTACCTCACTCTCCACTTTGACTAATTATAGTTAATTTGATTTGGCTTTCCCATTAACACATGTATATATTCTGTCCTCAAAAAATAAATTAGATTGGGATTGTTTGGTCCCGGTGAGAAAACGGAGGAGTTTTTTTTGCGCGGTGACAGTAAGAAAAGGAACTAATTAAAAGGGGTCAGAGGAGGAGACTGTTTGCAAAATGAAAGTGTGTGTGTGTGAGCGGTCTGTCTAGGACTCAGCTCGGTGCTGCCTGCTAGGCCACATCACTGAGATGGATGAATGGATGGAGCTACTGCTGCTGCTGGAGAAATGAGAGCACGCTCCCAATTTAACACGCAGATCTTTCTCCTTCTCTTTCTATCAGTTAGTGTCTATTTCTTGACGTTGTGGCTGGAGGTAGTGAGGCTAGCTGGGGAGAGGGAAAGGAGTGCAGTCTGTCTGTGTCTGTCTGTCACCATGGACACCACTGGCCTCCAGGCTGACTGATGGAAACGACAGAGCGAGCGATTCCTGTTGAATAGAACATTAGAACCGGGGGCTTTGATTAGCAGGTGGCTGGGTCCTACACATTAGACAGAGCAACTTGGACAGCAGCTTGGCTCCATTTACCACTCATTCAGCTTAAAGAAGTGGGGCAAGTAAAGTAACTACAATGTACCAATACGTTTTCTACTGAGTATTTGATTTATGATGATTACTGAATACATTTATCCATGAAAGCTATCTTTCGTGGTGGAGTGAGCTAGAAAGCGTTGTAGTGGTTACTAAATAGCTGCTGCCTGGCTGTCACCCTGTTGTGTTGTTGTTCCCAACAGCCAAACTCAGCTGAGCTGCCAGGGCTTGGTCGGAAAGGGCAGCTCTCGCTGCCACTGCCAAACAAACAAGGCCTTTCAATGGTAGTGTTCTAACCCTGAAATAATAACCCTGGCTGGAGGACACACAGAGAGAGAGAGAGAGAGAGAGGTGGTGGGGGTAGGAATGTATGGCCCCCACCCTCGATCCTGGGGTGCTGGCGGGGAAAGCATGCCATGGCTGAGGGCAAGGACTGCTCTCTCCCCTCCCTCTGCTCTCTCAAGGCTGGCCCACACGACCCTGTGTGTGTGTATGCCTGCTCGGCTGGGAGTGTTTAATTTTGCAGGATGACCAGAGAGAGAAAGAGTGCCCCTGATTTGAATGGAAAATGACCTGGAGCCGTGGCTGAGCTCTGAGCGGCTCCAGAGAGGCAGGAAGAAAAGAGCCTTCAAGCTGTCGCCCTGCGCCTTAATCTCTGGTGGCGTGGGCTCAATACAGCCACCCATGTTAGTAAGCAGACCAAGTCTGCTTAGCCTACCTAGCCTAGCAACCCTCCACATCCAGTCTCATTGAGGCCCAGCTAAAACAGACCAGCTAAACAGCTCATTTAGATTGGGGCTACACTACGTTAATTAATTAGTGTATTTTTTTTGTACTTTTCTTTCCTCATCACGAGTCTCTGCCCGACTGTAGGTTAAAGAGGAACTGCACCCGCTGATTTGGCCTCATTTTTTGACTTGCTCTTCAAGAAATGCTGGCGGCCATGACAGAAGCCAAATGTGAGTTGGCTTGGGGGTGTGGCTTGATGGGGGTGTTTCTTGGGTGTGTCCTTGCCACCACCAAGACACACCCATCTGTCAGAACCTTGCCCACAGCTGTTTCCCCCCAATCAATCACAACAAACAAACCTGCAGGTTGAGTTCAATAACTACAGGTGTATGGTGAGATGCCAGAGGAAGCCTTGAATAGGTCAGTAGCCTACAGAGTAATATAAGAACAATGCAATTGCTGAATTTATGCAGATGAAATTAAAAATATCAAATGTTATTTGTTACATGCTTCGTAAACAACAGCTGTAGACTAACAGTGAAATGCTTATTTACGGGCCTTTCCTAACAATGCAGAGAGAAAATGATAGAACAAGGAATAAATACACAATGAGTGACATTAACAAGATAGTCTAAACTAAGGGTTTTGATAACTTTCAAATGTCCATGTAGAATAAACAACCCTTTACATAATACCATAGAAGCAGTGTTCTGCTAATATGACAATGTGTACCTTTCACCTTTCATTGTCATTCCCAGCTGATACAGATACTTTGCCTATCGGCATTTTGTCTGGTGGTAATGGGGCTACCTTGGCAAGCATGTCAGAGTGGTCATACCTTCCTCTGTGGTGTCCCGTATACAACAGGAGTTCCCTGATCCTGGTGCAGAATACACAGGGTTTCTCCATCCCCATATTGACTGATACCATTCAATTCAAAAATAAAAAAAGACAATACAAGGAAAAGTTGTCTAATATAATTTGTATCTCTCCATTCAGAGACATCAGTATCAAGCCTGTCTGTCAGTCTGGACTTAATCACATCATCTTGCATGTCACCATGTGCTGGCTCCATACATGTTTCTGTGAACACACACACATAGTCACAATTCTATTACCAAAGGCAGTTAGGAAAGGTAATATCTGACATACAAACAGGTGCTATATTGAAGTTTGAACAGGTCAGATAAAACCTACCCAATTATGGTCTCCCCATCAAACGACTGAGGCTCCAGTCCATCCGTAGAAATAGGCAGAGTTCATCAGTGACACATGGAATGAAAAGGGTGTTGCCATTACTGGACATTTACCTCGTCGACCGTTGGTGAGCAGGCAAGAGGTGAGGCTGGAGGTGAGGTCTTTGGCTGCAAACTGGACATCTATCAAACAACTGCAGCAGTCCATTTTATGAGGTGGTGTTGACTGGGAGGGCCTGTGACTGGGTGATGTATTAGACAGCCAAGTGGTAAATTGCATTTTGTTCTAAAGAAAGGACAACCAAAATGACTGCTAGTTGTATCTCCTTGGCTGGGGAATTAGCCTATTATTTTATCAAGCCAGGTATTTTTTTTTATACAACTTTTCACATAACACACGTTACCTGTCATTGTTGATGAAGCCGTCTGTGTCATCAGGGCAGTAACTCGGGTCACTATCAGAAGCCTCATGGCGTGTCCTTTTCATAGGAGTGGAGGGAGACTGACAACAACGGAGGTACTTGTGTCGCATGACACACTTTTATTCTGAAGTCTTGCCTGACAAGCTGTGAAAATAGCAAGTGAACAATTAATGAAATTATTTCTGGAGGTCGCTAAACCATTGCAATCACATTGCTGGACATGTTGTGATATCCACCTTTGCTCCTTCTGGTAGGTCCCGGCATCCGATCAGACTGGCACCCAACTGTGCACTTTGTCTAACAGAAAAACATGGTCAACATCCCTAAATTATAAACACAGCTCGAGAAATAACGTAATCTCGTTTGGAAGCTAATTCTATGCTTTACAGATGTAGACTGACTGGCTTCAGATTGGATTAGATTCAGGCCGGTGACATCGTAACACTATGCAACCAACTGTGACATGTTTTGCTATGGCCTTGGGTTGGTTTGAGTTTGTTGCTACTAGTTCGTACACTATGGTAGTCAGACATGAGTTAGCTAGTACCACCATAGCTGCATCCAATATTTATTTGTGCCCTAGACATGGGTTGCACCTCGAAGGCTAATGTGACTGTTTCATTTTACATTTACATTTTAGTCATTTAGCAGACGTTCTTATCCAGAGCGATTTACAGTTAGTGAGTGCATACATTTTTCATACTGGTCCCCCGTGGGAATCGAACCCACAACCCTGGCGTTGCAAGCACCATGCTCTACCAACTGAGCTACACAGGACTGTAAGTTTCGTATAAATTACACTAAGTTAGAGTGGCATGGAAATACGATGACATTGCTAAAGTAGGCAAATAATTAGTTGGAAACAAGAGAGATGGCAATGTTGCCATTACTGTTACTAGCTAAGTTTGCCAAAAATATCTAGCAATGCTAATGTAAGCAACCTCAATCTTAGTTAGCTGGCATCTAAAGTCAATCTGGCGACATCACAATCATGACAAAAGGTTTTCCTACTAATTATTTGCCTTCTTTTGAAATGTTATCGTGTTTCCAAGCCAAATTCGAGTTGTATTTAGGTAGGCTAACGTTAGTTAGGTAGCTAGCTAGTTGGTAGCTAGCTAACATCAGCTATGCTAGCGATGATAATGATTATCAAAATATACATAACCAGCAGTCTATGGTCTAGCTACCGGTATACTCACCACCACTGGGGACCAACAAAGTCCAATCACCGATCCCTGCATGAAAGGGTCCTTTGGTCAGGACATGCAAGCCATAGTAGTTGGCTGTGCATCATGCTGGAAGCATGCGTTGCATGGTCAATCCTTAAAGGCTTTTCAGTCTCAAACGTCCGCGATCCTTTGAAATCGTTGGTTGGGGGCGATGAAACAACGGAGCCCCATTCAATGAAGGGATGCGATGTGGGGGGAGGGGCGATTTGCACGTGGAGCTTGGCAAAAGGGGGCATGATTTGTTTACTTAATTGTAATCCAAACCCAACCTTAATTCGTTGTGACGCACTGAGGTTCCAAACTCTTTTTTTTTGACGAGACTGACTTTATGACAAAAATTATCCTATTTACACATTGTAGTCAATTTTGACACTAGAATAAATGTTTCTGATTCAAAGGGATTAGATGGGTTTTTAGGGGCAATATCTCTTTAAAGCAGTTGCAAACTGTTCAATTGAGGACAGCGATTTATGTTCTACCAGACCTATTCTTCTTCTTCTGCTGCTGCTTGTTTGTTAGTCACACCACCAAGCATTCATCAGCTTGTCCCCCTTCCCAAGCCAATCCCTTTGAGTTCTGAATTCATGTTTGTGGAGCTGAAAGATGTCATTAGCTCGGTGGTACAGGAAGCAGCTTGGTCCCCTCAGTCTTGTGCAGTGTCACAGATGTACTCAGGCTGTAATGCGGAGCTCTGTTTCCAAAATGGCGGGTAAACCGTGCCTTTCTTGATCAGGGTCAGCTCAGTCGTTTTCACTGCTGGGACTGAAACCAGGAACTTTCTGGTAGCGACTGCTACGTTGTTAACTAGACGTGTGGAGATAAGCATGTTGCTTACGCCCTCACTGCGGTCAGTGCATGGGTTTCAGCTGAACTTCAGGCTGTGTTTCGAAAGGCTAGGCCTCCCATACCTCCCTGGTTTCTCCACCAATTTCTAATTTCTACTGTCTCTTTATCTCGCAGCCTTTTAATGGTGTTTTGGATGTTTGCCAGGATAGAGCCTGCAGCCTCTCTCTCTCTCTCTCTCTCTCTCTCTCTCTCTCTCTCTCTCTCTCTCAAGAAGAAGAGTTTCCGCTTTCATGCTCCTCTCACGTGTGTGTGAGCGCAGGCAAGCTGCTATTTATTCCA